GTTTTTCATTTCTAATGCATTAATTTGTGGGATTTTTTTTCTTTTTTCTTTTGGTAAGATTGGTTGAAGGTTTGTCTTTTATTTATTTTTTCAAAGAACCAGGTCTTTTGATTATTTTGTATTGATTTTTAGTCATTTCACTAATTTTTACTCTGATCTTTATAATTTTCATTCTTGTGCAAACTCTGTCTTTGAAGGGTTTTTGTATTTTTTTTTAATTTTTATTTTGAAAGTATACAACAGAACAAGTCAGAATAAAGCCAACTAAGATCGTACAGTGAAATTGGTAGAGAACTTCACAGCAGGTTACCAGGATAACAGGAATAGGTATCACAGTATATTTTGTTATCTTTATAATAGTTGTTCTTTCAATCCTGTATATCAAAATGAGATGAAATATAGAATACTATAGAACTTATCAAAACATGATATTGAATAGAGCAGTACCATTAATCAGAAAAGAGCAAAACAGTAATAAAAATATTTGCCTTCAAAGAAATGGTAGAAGGAAGTCCCCCGTATTTGGTTTGAGGGTTGTTGTTGTTGTTGTTGTTGACTTGATGCTTGTGATAGGGTATTGAGATCACCCACTATAATTGTATTGATGTTTAGCTCATCTTTTTCTGAGTTTAATAATGTTGAGTGCACCATGGTTTGATGCATGTGTTTATATTATCTCTTCTAATACCTCTATTAACCAGTATGTAATGACTATGTCTTTTTTAATCAGCTTTGGCTTGATACCTTCTTTCTCTGAAAGTAGGATAGCTATTTCTGCTTGTTGCTTGGTTCCCATGGCATGGAATAGACTTCCATCCTTTGATTACTGTCTATGAATTATTGTGTTAAATGTGTTTCTTGCAGACAAATTAGGTTTTGCTTCTTAATCCATCATTCTAATCTGTCCCCTTTGATTGGCAGGTTAATTCCATTTACATTGATAGTTATTTCACTTATCTGATTATCTGTTCTCTTGGATCTCACTACACTTTTTAAAAAATCAGCTTAAAAGTTCTTTATCAGCCATTTCCTCCTTACTGACCTCTTTGGGATCTGCTACCAGAGACTTGTGTTCTTTGGGGCATCATATTACTTTGTTTTTTGATATTTCTTGTGATCCTGATATTGAACTTTACATATGTGGTAGACCAAGCACTTCTCTTAATTTTTGCAGTTGGCCTTCTTAATAACAGGCTTTCACCCGAAGATGTCTTGAGTTCTTGCTTCATAATGCAATACTGGTTATATTTCCACCTAAGCATTATATTCTCCCTACAGCGTGTTTGGATGTAATTAATGACTTTGGGTATAGCACATATCATAGCAGAGTTGGAGAGGCTCACTGTCTCTGTCAGCCATGAAAAAGTATGGATATTCTAGCAGCTGAGGAAGGTGTGATGCAGACTGCAGTGTGTAGGGGCACTCACTGTGTGACTGCTCCTGTAAGTGGGGCAGTGGTCTCTATTGGATCATGAAAGCATTCCCTCAGGCACTGGGAGTCTGCTCTTAGAAACAGCTCCTAGTACTGGCTGCCACAGCAGTGATGGAGAACCTGCAGCACTTGACCTATAATCAGTTGCTGCTGTGGGCCCAGAGGCTGCACAGGGAAAAGGAGTGGCAAAGCTGCACCTTTTTTTTGGTGGCACTCACCCTCCAGCTGACAGCAGTTCCTGGTCAGGTAGAGATAAGGTGAGCTGTGCCGAGAACTGCATAGGTGGGATGGCAGCATGGCAGCAAACTTTCATGTTCCTCTTTGCCAGTGGCAGTGCACACCCAGGAGCAAAACTGAGGGCAAGTCCTTCTGGGTCTCTTTAAATGACTGTTAAGAGCAACACAATGGCTGGAGCTGGAGTTTTTGTACCCAAAATCCTATTCCTTCAACTTGTGGTGTGTTCAGGGTCAAGGTGACAGATGGATGTATCCATGGAGTTGGCAAAGGCCTCCTTAGCACACCCTTAGGGATGGGGCGGTTCGAGGATCCACGGTGTTCTTTCTCTGTCTTGTCAGTAACTGATGTAGTGGGAGGAGGCAGCAGAAACCACGCAGGTGCCTGTCTTCAGTCTGGTACTGGTGTGACCCACAATAGCTACTGTCACCTTGGTCTCAGACTGCAAGGACCCTCCTGTCCATCTTGAGGGACAATGACCTCCATTTCCCTTCAGGTTGCAACACTTCTATAGTACTGGGCATCCAGTGGGTTTAGGTCAGGTATTCTGCTGAGACGAGTTGAGTTCAAGCTGTAACTATCTATCCCCATGCTAGTGCAGTGGAAGGATTATGAAATCCTAGAGATGGGAATATGCAAGGATTTCTGACTCTTGAGGGAATCCAGTATGAGACATTAACTCGCTTTTCAAGATGGTTCCTGGCTATACCACTTAAATGTTCACTGGAAAATGATGCGGGTTCTTTTTCTGAAGTAAGGCTGTTGTGCAGACTTCAAGTTACTTTTCTATGTGAATTGCAAGCCAGTGAGAACTGTGAAAGAAACTTGCCAGTAACTAATATTGCCACCTTCTACTCTGGCAGTCTATTGGGACTCTCTCTTTCCTCTCTACCCATGTTAAGAACTCTGCAGCCTGGCTTCCAGGTGCTGGAATGTTGTTTCTCTTGGAATGTGACTGTTCTGGGTCTCTGAATCTTACAAGATTTCAAAGGCATTATGTCTGTATGTCCATCCTTCTGTCTCTCAGACCTCTGGTGTTCCTCGATGGTTGCTCTTCTCAAAATTCAACTATCTGTATCCTTATTGCTTTGGTTCTTCCCAAAGGAAGAAATGAGTGCTGGGCTCTGCTGTCTTGGAGGGTGGTGTGTGTAGAATGTCCATGTGTACTATGTGGTAGTCCATGTACACTGATTGAAATGTTAACTTCTTGAGCTATCTACTCAAAGTGTTCATGAGCCTTGTCATGGTTTATGTCTGTGTCCCCCAGCCCTCAAGAGTTTGAATTGTGCATTTGTTATTCGTTCATTGTCTAGTGCTTGGATTGATGGTGTCAGTGCTCCACCCACATAGGGGTGGAGCCAGGATGTGATGTAATGGCAGGAAGAAGGTGTGTCTTTCTCTTTGCTGAGTCGAGCTTGCTGTTTGCAGCCGCCATAAAGTCCAGCCATGCCTGCCTGCCGTGGAGTCAACTGAGTGTGGACTGAAACCTCCAAAAACTGTAAGAAATAAACCTTTCCTTTCCCAACTTTGGGCTTCAGGTATTTTGTCTCAGCAACGAGTAAAAAGTAACTAAGACAAGCCTCATGTCTTATTCATAACAACATTCCTGACATGTAGAACATATTCAAGTTGAAAGTAGTCTTTTTGTATGTAAAAATACTAAAGCTGAATTATGACATTAAGTCAAACTTTAAGAGAAATGTTAATGAAGTTGAACATTTCCTTAGAGATCTACGAAAAAGTACAAAAACCTTTTACATAATTAAAGATTTAACTTGCTGTATTTGTACAGTGATCATTTTAATATGGCAGATTTCAAAAGTATAATTTTAAACCAGAGGTTTAAGTTTGCTAGTCAAATTTGCTTCTGTAACATGGTTTGATTTTATGAAAAAAGGATGAAGTATTATTGATAGTGTTTTAAGGTTCAGAAATGGTTCGGTGAGTAGACAGAGGAGCCCTGGCTCTTAGTTGGGCCTAAGGTGGCGGTGCTTAGAAACAGCCAAAAAATGCAGGCTTAGCAAATGACTGGAATGCACTTTACTGTGTCTGTCTCTTCCTGGCTAATGAATCATGACCACTGCCACTGCCACCCAAATCTTGGGTATGCACAAGGGTACAGTAAAAAAATTATTGTTGTGATTTTTGTTTCAAGCTTTATACTCTTGCTTTAATATAATTTGGAGATGTTATCAGTGAAAGAACTAAACCAAAAGCACCCAAAAGAATCCTTCATACCCTAACCATAAATCTTTATCTGTGGCTCTAAAATAATTTGTGTGACAATACTTTACAAAGTTATAGTAAACACTATGTGTCTTCATTACATGGTTAGGCATTTCCTGATTAAATATTCTGTATGAGAAGGCTAACAGAATTTGATAACTTCAACCCAAGTCTCCTAGTTTCCTGAAAATGCAACTGAAATGCAATAAAACCATGATATTAGTAAGTAAGATATTCAAATCGTCTCTGACTGGGTTGGAAAGTGGTCATAAAGTTCGCATATATAGGCATCAATTAAAGGCTGTAAAATCGTAAGCTTCCATGAAGGTTTGATACTGTATTAGCTCTGTATCGCCATAAATTTAGTAGTGTCAAACAATACACACGCATCTCAATGCTGTACAGTTTTAGAGACTGAGGTATCACTGGATGGTGGTTAGGGTGATGAGATGCGTTTCTCCTGAAGGCTCTGGGGAAGCCATTTTCTTGCCTTTTCCAGATTCCAGGCACAGCCCATGTCTTGGCTCCTTCCTATTTGCTCTGTCTTTACAATTAGCAGTGGCCACTGAAACACTTCCCATTGCCTCGGACTTCCTTCATGTTACACCGCCCCCCGATTCTTACATTTCTGAGGTCTTCTTCCTTGTAAGGACCCTTGTGATTACACAGGATGCACCCAGTTAATGCAGGATAGTCTCCCTCCTTTAAGGCCAGCTGGTTTATAATTTTATCTGAAACTTTATTTCCACTTTGCTACAAAAGACTGGTCTTCCAGGAAAATGTTAAATGGGGAGATGTTTCTGCTGGGTATGCCTAGACTGCATATAGTTTGTTTTTTAAAATTCAGATGCTCGGTCAGGGATATAGCTCAGTGGCACAATGCCTGCCTGGCAAGCGCAAAGTCCTGAGTTCCATTCCTAGTACAAACAAAATAGAAAATCAGATGCTTTTTTCTGAATTTCAGTTTAAGTCATGGAACAACTGCCTTACTGTGGGTGTGTAGTGAGTAGGCATGGACTGAACTCTGAAAGCTACTGCTCACTGTTGCTGTGATCCCCATCTGTGTTCATTTCCTACGAGTTGCCATAACAAAGTGCCTCAGACTGGGTGATTTAAACAATAGAACTTTATTTCCTTACAATTTTGGAAGCTAAATGTTCCAGATGAAGGTTTTCACAGGGTTGATTCCTCGTCTTGGTTTATCTCCAAACCCCTCTCGTGTGTTTGCCATCTTCTCCTGGTCTTCACACAGCCTCTGTTGTGTGTCCTGATCTATGCTGTACAGACGGACGGACACCAGCTGGGTTGGACTATGGCTCACCCCCACTGACTTTGTGTAACTTTAATTTCCTCTTTCTAGATCCGGTCTCCAAATACAGACCTCTTTTGAAGTAACGGGCCTCAGAACTTTAACATATGAATTTTAGAGAAACAATTTAGGCCCCAACATGGAACTCATGGTTCCCTTGCAAGACGAGTCGACTTTCAGAGGACCTCGGGTTAAGGAAAGGGCAGCGCAGCTGGCAGGACGCGACTTGTGGTGTGCACGTGCTGAGAATCAGTCAAGTAGATGTTTTTTTCTACAAAAATGGTGATTTATTTTGCTTTAACATACAATAGTAAATATTTGGGGATTGTTTTTTAAATTTGCTGGGCTTACTTTACATCTTACAAGACTAGTGTAAGCTCATAAATTCTTCCATGTCAATGAAGGAAAAAAGATCCAACTGACATCTGCTTGGCTAAGAATGGACATGAAAATCAGACAATGCATGGAAAATATAAAGCTTTTTCTCCAAATGTGTATAAAAGTTTTGAAACAAAATCACTGCCTGCTCCACAGGACAGACAATTTTAATTTTTAAAATGCTCTAGACCAGGAATAGCAAAATCCTGAGTCACAAAACATCATACAGCTTAACAATATTTAACGAAAGACTTTTGCATTGGAGAGTTTAATAACAATCTGAAGAAAAAGGAAAAACAGTAGCCAAGGAACTGCACAACCAAAGAAAGAAAATCATACATAAAACATTTCCAACACTATTTAAATGCCAAATTTAAGCAATAGTAAAAAAAAATAATAAAACAAAACAACATAATAATACAGCCTTCTGTTTAAAATAACAGCACTGTTCTGCCTCTTTTCCACTGAATTTTACATATGAACAGACTATATATACTGGATTTTTAGAAAACTGTCCATTTGGTCTGTTTCACCAGTCAGACGCTACTAAATCTTCTCACTGTCTTTGGAGGACGTGCAACTCCAGGCTGTTTCCAAATCTGCAACGTTCTGGCTTAGGTGCGATGTCTCAAGTATAATATATTTCTCCCTTTTCCTTTACACAGTGCAGAATACATGGGCTTAGGTTATGTGGACTCATTTACTCCAGGTCGCTGTCTTTTTCTAAATTCAAGGCGGTGTTGAGTGGGGTGCAGTAGTTGGGCTTGTCAGAAGGTACGTAGCCTGGCAGACACAAACATTTGTAGGAACCTTCGGTGTTAATGCACTTGGCATTCTTGCAGAGAGACATCCGGTTGTTCAATTCATCACACTCATTGACATCTGCAATAAGCCAACCCATGCAGGTGAGCAGTCTGCAACATTACTCTACCCTTGTGAGCAACCAGCCCGGGCCCTGCCCTCCATTCCCGACCCCCACCCACACTGTGTGTCTCCAATCACATGCAATATAAAAGTCACTTTGGAGCTTACTGCACGTTATCAGTACGGTTCTAGAATTTCTCTCCTTATTCTCCAACACTTCGTGAATATTTTGCCAGCTTGACACCACAGTGTCAAGCCTCAAACTTGAAGAAATTGTATTACTTCTCAGTTCCCTCCCAAATCATACATAAAATGCTAGATTTGCAAAGAGGAACTAAGCAGAGAGCTCTCAGAGCAGCCTCTTGCAGGGCTTCGGTCGCATCCTGAGGTTATTTGCTTCCATGCAAGACACTTGTAGGCTCTCCCAAGCTGCAAACACCTGCACAAGCTCACACTGCCTATATTCCAAACCCCCCACAGATGAAGAGTCACAAAATAGAAGTGGGCAGAGGGACTGCTTGCTGCAGAGGCAGAGGAAAAACAGCAGAAATACTTTCCTTCAAAATCAAGTGTCTCTCAGCACAGAGGCAAACAGGACCGAGTCACACAGAGCAGGTGAAATGTATGTGTACTGTTCACCCGCAAGATGGGAGGAGGGCAACAGTAAAGGTAGTTTTAGGAGAAGTTTTATCCAAAATGATTGCTAGGGAAGCTGTGTATTTTTCAGAGTCTAAATCCTTTATGCTTGTGTCAAGTATTCAGAGAAATCATTGTTGCACAATAAAAAACTAAATTTAAAAGTTAAAGGACCTGGGACATCCTGGCCTTTCCTTCATATTTCTCTAACATGATGGATTTTTAAAACAATGGGTCAGCTTTAACTTTTAATTGTGGGGGAAAAAGCAGCACAAGGTTGACCACTGTAAGTGCTCAGCAGCACCAAGTATGTCTGTGCTTTACAGACATGTTCATTCCTTTACTCATCTTCCAAAGCTGAAACTCCACAGATGCCACCGACTGTCACCTGGCCCCGGGGGGTCTCAGGAATAGAGTGTCCCACAGGTCACTCGTTCTTACCCACGCACGTCATCCTGGCCATGTCCAGGTGGTACCCATCAAAGCAGTCACAGGTGTAACCTTCCTGGACCCGCACGCACCGGCCATTTTCACACCCATTGAGAATACCACATTCCTCTGCCTGTAACTCCTCAAAGCTATTCAGAAATCCTGGAAAGGAAAATGGAGGAGTCCCGTTAGACATTTTCATACTCCTGTACTGTTTGGCTATTACGGTTATGGTCCATTTTATACAGATTTCAGATACCTGAAAACGTTAGAATTTAATATGGAATATATCTGTGAATAATATTAAACATAAAATATTTAAGATGTTGTATCTGATGTATGGATTATCCTCATATTTTGAATTCTGATATTTTTACATTAAAATCACACATAAAATGCAAGTACAGCTTTGGTTTAGTTTTGAGACACAGTCTTGCTATGTAGTTCATGCTGGCCTTGATCTTACGGCGATCCTCTTGCCTCAGGCTGCCAAGTGCTGGGATTATAGGCCTGTGCCACCATGCCCAGCTGGTTTTTGGTTTGCTCTTAAATAAGAAAAAGTGTGCACTGGAAATTCCACATTTCCTCAGTTTTCAGTAAAGTTAATGTTAGAAAACCTTTTGGGATGGAGCCAATGAATTCATAATCAGAGCTCATAGGAATCTGTTAAGACACAGAAGAGGCTGAGTGGTGCTTTTTCAACTAGAGTTTGTTCTGGCTTTGGAACCGGCCCTACACAGGGATCAACGGATAAAGGTTGTAAGAGACTCAGAGCATCTTGATAAATGAGAAAATACATCACAGTTGCATTTAGAAAACCAAAAGGCTTTCTTTAAAAAAGGAAATGAATTTCTATTTGGTTCTTCTTATAGTTTAAAAATCTAGTTTTCAATCAGTCTAAAGAAAGTGTTTCAGTATTAGAAAAACAACTGAACCAGACATCAAAAGCATTTAGTCCTCTAAGGAGGGAAATTGTAAATACAAATCCATAAGGACCCAAAATAGTCACATGGCCTCTCTCCGTACCCAAACCACACTTCAGATTAGCTTCAAGGAAACCAAGGGCCTTGATTTTCTGCTCCTCTGGCTTTGCAGCAATTCTCCAGTGGAGCTGCAAAAGGCAGCAAAGCCTCATTGCTACACAAGGCCATAAGGCCTAACTTGATTTTAAAAATCCAGTAGCACATCCGTGATGGGGCCTTTTCAAAAATTTGCAGGGGAAAGCAATATTAAAGGCCATCAAGACAATGGCAGAAGGTACTCAAAGTCAAGTTTAAAAATACTCATTTCATACAATAAGTTCTGAATGAAAATATCTTAAAATTCCATGGATCACGGCAACATCATTTTGACTTGGCAGTAAGTAAAATTATTTTTTTATTCAGAAATTAAGGCATGAAATTAAAACTCAAACTCCTGTACTCATCCAGGAGATTCACCAGAAAACTTCAGGATTCTAAAACAGAGATGCAGACTACAGTGTAACAGTCATTGTCTGCTACACTCGGGCCTTTTAGAGAAGAACACAGCAGTGCCTGCTTCAGTGAATCCCACTTAGAGAAACAGCATCAGACAGAAGGTAACAGAGGGTAAAGCATAAAGGGCGCCAAAATCTCACAGCCGCCTGTTACCTGCTGTGCAGCAAGATGGTTTCTGCAGCAGCCCCAAGAGCCCTGCTCTGTGGCAGTGAGCTCGCTGGGTGGGCAGGGAGGAGCCCCTGTAACTTGTGCCATGTTTAAAGGTCCTTACCAAGTCAGAGCTGGAGGTCTAGGAACCACATGTCAACTTCCGGATCTGCTAAAAAGGAGCTTGATGTGACACCAACATGTTTATTTCTTAAGAGTTGTAATGAATTTTAAAAAGCTTTAGAATAACGTTAGCAATAAGACATAGAAAATGCCCATAAACCATAAAATTTCAATCTTAAAACTCCTGCAGCCTGTATTTATGACAGGACACACACACTCACTGTTTGAATAGAGGCCAAACCCAGTGTTTCTGCACTTACAGGGCATTAGGGCTGTTGTTGCCAACCTGTGATGTATGAAGTCAGGATGCAGGGTGCCTTGGGAAAGGGTCGGAAGGGCCCCCTGCACGCTGACAGAGTCCTGGGCCTGGGTGAGGGTTCCTGGCGTGTGCTAACCCCAGAGCACTGGGAACTCTGTGGGTGACTGGATGAAACACCCTTGAAAGGAGTTAAGGGTGCCCCATCTGAAAAATCGCCACGTGGGTATTCCGAAGCTTTCTGGCTGAAGTCACTTGAGGAACTGTGCCTTCTGAATGGGCCACTAGGTCTCTTTCCTCCACACTCAGCCAGCTAGAAAGACTCCTTGGGAGGGGCGCCCTTCATCAGGAGACATGGGTGCCGGGGGCTATGAGGTGGAGAAACCACTTGTAACTCAACTGTAGGTGGGCCGGCCTCTGCCCGGGCTCTTGGCAACAGCCCTGGAACTTAGCTATCTATGCAGGCATCTATTTCTCCTGTCATTCCTTCACAAATTCATTGTTCTTTGTCTAAAAAGTATAAAAAATTTCTTTGGATTTCTCTCTTGTGAAGACGTCAGGTACACACAATTTAACAGAACTCTGACATTTTCTCTCCTTCATAAGCACTTGAATTAATTGGGTTTCTCAGACCCAGATGGCGACCCACTAAGGACTAAGGGAGGAGAGAAGGGATTTCTCTCCTAAACTTAAAAACCCGAAGGGAGGAGAAAGAAGAGAAAGCAAACAGGAAGAGAGGAAGGAAAAGCTTTCTTGACTCAGATAAGAAACAGCCTGGGATATAACTGCACAGTGGCTGGGGCTAGGCAGGGGCCAGGCAGGGGCAGGCCCCTTGGTTAGCAGGTGGCAGGGCCCAAAGGAAAAGGCTTCTGTGTGATAAATGCAGCAGCCTCTTTAACATGGGGGGCCGCTGGGACTTCCTGTTTGGGAATGGGGCGACAGGTGGGAGGCCCTCCGTGAGGAGAGGAGGACGGCTCTAGACTGGTCCTTCCCCTCCTGCTCCCAGACCTCTCATCTGAACCCTGCACTGTGACTCTGACTCCTTATTCTGTATGCAAAAGCTCTGCAGCCCTGAGGAAACCACCCCCGTGTGTGTGTGTGTGTGCGTGCGTGAGACGTGTCTCCTCAGGCAGGGCACGCTGGCAGTACTGTTCAGGCCATTTCCTTCCTACAGGGGACACTGCAGTGTTTGCACGCACACACTGTCACCTGCTGCAGGGAAGCGCTTCTCTCGTAAGGCCAGGAAGAGCCGCGGCACATTTCTTACGTAATAAACTCTGCACAGGTGGATTCTGAGCACTTTGTCACTGCGAGCTGCTCAACCTCCCACTCTAGGATCCTAGTAGAGAGCACCGCAGCACAGTGAACAGGTGTCATTTCCCTGTCTGAAAGAAGTCTCCAGTACACCCAGGCCCTTCGGGAAGCCTGGCCACTGCTTCATATGGGGAGAAATAGCTTTGCCGTGGCAGCCACGACAACAGGGTCACTCTTGGTTCTGTAAGGTAGGTGAACAGCGGCCCATCAGCAAGCCGGATCACGGGACGGAGCCATCCTCAGCCCTAGTGTGGAAGGTCAGCCCAGGGCCCACACAAATCTGCACCTTGAACAAATTCCTACAGTCCCATTTTGAGAACCACTGAGGAACTTATAACCACAATTGAGTTTCCGAGTAACTGAACAACGTTGCTTACGGTCCTGGATGAAGTAGGGGTCCGCTTCTGGGGAGTACTGTTCACTAAAGTCCACCAGGGCGTCTCGTCCATACGGCCGCCGGCGTCCTGTCACAGGGATGTTGCACAGCTGGGCGTAGTCGTCTGAGAAGGGAAGGAGACGCAGCAGCATGAGACTCACCACCGCCCGCTGGCGTGCTCACAGCTCAGAGCGGCTGGGGCCGGTGCCCCCTCCACCCGCACGCAGGGCACCCCAAATGGGCCTGAAGACATTTCTGTGGGAACTCCATACACGCATGCCCAAGGAATGCTGCAGGCCAAAACCAGCTCCAGAACCACAGGTAGAACACATCCCAAGACAGGAGAGAAACAAAAAGAAAAATCCGAGAGTGCCTCAGACCTGCTGGAAGAATGGCTTTATACAAACCTGTTGGACGTGATGAAAAAACATTTTTAAGGTGTGAAGTAGCCATTTGGACTGACAGCGATTTTCTTCCCTCCCTGGAAACAGAACACTGCATTGCTGGTGTTCAGTAGTGACGCACCAGCAAGCCAGGTTGCTGCTGGCTCCCCAGAGTAACTGATCAGCCACAACCCCGAGAGTCGACCAGAGCACAGAGGTCCTCAGGAGCAGCACGACACGACATGACAGGGATCACGGTCATAATAACAAGGGTGAGTGTCATGGAAGCAGCAGCAAAGATAATGGCTAGTGGTTGCACACCGTCTGCCTGTGTCAGGTGTATTCTAAGCACGTGACACAATGCCAACTCCGGACAACACCTGCCATGCTGTGAAGAGGTCCTGGATCTCACTATCATGGGAAAAAAAAGCCCAGACAGGTTAAATACCAGCAGCATCACCAGTTCTAGTTAGGAATGAAGCACAGGGGAACTGACCCAAAACACTGTCTCTCCTGCAGCGAGACTGGCTCCACTGCTGTCACTACCTGCTTTGTACCCCAGCCAGAGTCACTTGCAGTCACCACTGAAGCCACCTGTCCATTGTAAGCGGGACTGGCCCCCAGCTGACTGGCTCCTACAGGACCCACCCAACACATCAGTTATTTAGAAATCTAGGTTGGAAAGCTGCAGAACAGATAGCTTCATACGAAGAGTGTGCATATGACAGAAAGTATGCTGTCCAGGCGTGCCTCGAGCAGGTGGTGCAAATTCTGGGATTTCCTCAAGGGTGGCAGACCTGCCAGCACAGGCAGGCAGGCCAGCAAACCCCAGGATTAGATGGCCAATCTTGGGGCACACGGACAACAGTCATGCTTTCCTGGAGTTTTCCACTTATACAAAATAAAGAGAAACGCTAGGCAACAGTGTGAACTCTGAAGCCGCCTTCCATCCCTCTAAATTACCGAGAGGGGGGATGTTGAAAGGGCTGTGTGTGTGCACAGGTATGCACACCCACTCCAAGAGACGCATGAGGGAAGCCTACAGGCAGAAAAGACTTTGGACCACTGAATAGGCAGGATTCTGGGTGTCCCTTCCTGAAATTCTCTTTAAGTGGAAGCATTCCACCAACGACAGCCAAACCCAAGAGTCCCTAAGGCTCTGGGGAAACCATTCCATAAGAAATGCTAGTTTCATTAAGGAGTAAGGTGGACATGGAAGAAAACCTTTGGGGAAAAAAAGGTACAACTTCAAACCGAGAAAGCACCAGCGGCCCTTGGTTCCGGCTGAACTCTGAAAAAGAATTAAGGATTCCCATTCCACAGCAAAACTGCTCAGATGCTTGAAAGTTTTTGAGAGCTGAAGTCACTTCGAATGACTGTATATACATTTGTACATTTGACGAGGAGACTTGTTCAGGATTTTATATCCAAGCCACAGTGTAATTGAGAATGGATAAAAGAATTAATTTGTAAAACAAACTCAGAGATGACAGGGTGTGGGCTTGGGCAGTTCAGGGAGGGAAAAGGCCAGAAAAAAGGAAACTTGAGGCTGGGAACTACCGGGCTGTTCCAAAGGCAGCTCACGGCGTGACCCAGGCCGGCGAGGGGCAGCAGAAACGTGGGAGGTGGCACCTGTGGAAGCAGGCACGTGTTTCCTCTTGAGATCCTGAACCTTACCGCCCTTGGTAGCTGTGTTCCTTTCTCGAACGTGTTCACATGCCAGGCTTCAAGACCTCTTTGGTCAGCTCTGAAAACATAACTTCCGCAAGTACTTTCTCATCCCGGAAGGTGGCCCCATCCCATCCTCATTAGGGGATGGCATTCTGGGTGACTTTGCTGGGCGTATGGGCGGGTCCTCCTAATCTGTCCATGGTGCCTTTCCTGTTACCTCTGCTCTGATGCTTGGCCAAGGTCGGGGGCGAAGTGAGCTCGGGGTTAATGGAAAGAATGTGGGCTTTGGAGACAGAAGCAGGGGCTCGTGTCTGAAGTGCACTCCTTTCCAGCTTAGTAATTCTGGGCAAACCTCAGTTTCCACGTTTGTCAGACAAGGATAATAACTGTCTACCTCTGGCTCACTGATGTAGGAAAAATTATGGTGTTCTGGAATTGTTTATAAGCTCCTTTACCTCGGTGCTTTGATATTTATAATTTTTTCTTCTAAGTGAAATCACTGTCCATACTAAAAATCTGGAAACAGATTTCAAAGACAGTATTAGAATAAGTGACTAACCGCAATTTTAATGTTCAAACTAAAGGAAAGTTTTCAAATGGAAAAGAACATGGTAATTCTTTTTTTTTTTTTGAGATAAGGTTTTGCTATGCAGTTCAGGCTGGCCTCAAACTTGCAGCAATCTTCCTGCCTCAGCCTCCTGTGTGTATACATAAATTGAGAGTAGGTTTATGTACCTTTCAGGGGAGAAAAAGGAGTAGCATAGAATATTGTGATATTCTTGGATACAATGTCTTCTTGAGGATCTTGAACAGGCACCTGTCTGGCATGGGTGGGACCTCTGAAGTCCCAGGGCACACGTAGAACCCACTCCAGCTTGGGGTGACTGAGCTTGGTTATTCCTAGGGTCAGTGCAGGAGTCTAGCTGAGGAGACAGCAGTAAACTGTGGCTGCTACAGGTTCAAAGCCCAACAGCAGATCCCGGAACTATTTCCACAGCTTCCCAGGAGAACTGGTAAGCAGCTCAGCATGTGAACGTGAGGAGGCACACCCTGCCCCTTTACTTGCATGTGTCAACAGTCACCTTGTTGTCTGTAACTCAGTGCAGAGGACAGGCTTTGCTTGTCCTGGGAGCTGTACCTTGCAAGGCAAGGCCATTTCTGAGACCCCGTACAATGTGCCCCTTGGGGATCTAGCCAAACGCAAATGTTAAATGAACAGGAAATGAAAATACTGACCCCTCAAAGTACCCGCCCCCACTGCTCATGTCCCCAAGCACAAATGCTCAGCTTTGGATCACAGCTGTGGAAGGACACAGGGGATGGGGCAGGACACCAACCCTGAGTGGTCTAAACAAGAGCCAGCCCACAGATCACACTAATTTCTCTGACACGGTGGATTCATACCACAGATGGTGCTGCTTTGATTTTCATTTTAAATGGAAAGAAAAATTTTTAATTACCCCCCGGAGCCAGCAGGTCTGGGGCCCCCACTGTCAGCAGCGGTGGGAAGCACATTACAATATCCTGGCAGGAAATCTCCATTCTTGACGACGGACACATCTGCAGGGCTGGTCTGGACAGTCACACGTCACAGTGCCACTCTGGCATGTGAGAAAACCAGGAGGTGAAGCTTTGCGCTGTCTGCAGCAGATTAAATTCAGCTGCTCTTAGAAACCACGCAGAGGCTACATTTCAGCCTCCACACGTCAAGGACAGATTCTATTTTTCTATAAAGTCTGAACTGCATTTATAGGAGAAACAAGGACCCAAATTAAGGAAGGTAAGAAGTGTGGGTCATACTTAAATTTTTCCAACAGGTCTTTTCCCACATGTCTATTGGAGAAAACATCAAGTAGGACCCAGGGAGGACACACAGGACGGAGTGGGCTGGGGCTGAGTGAGTGTTGTCCTAGGCATTTTTCTTAAACAGTACTTAGCAAAAGCTTTGGCATAAAGAAAATATTTAGCATTTACAGAACAGTCTGTCCATCCCATACTGGGCAAAAGAGTTGACAGAGAGCCTTGGTTAGCATGAACAGGACTCTGGGGACTTGGACATCTGAGTGTCACTTACACCACTTTTTCAGAAAACAGTCTTAGTCACAGCCCCTGCAGAAGAGGTAGAGATCTGCATCCCTGAAATTAAAATGTGCGGATCTGTAACAGAAAATGTTCACTCTACAGAGAGAAAGGATTTGGAATCAAACTACTTGGGTTCTATTCTGAGCTATTCTACGTCCTAGCTCCTCAGTCAGGACATGTTTCTCTTTATTATCCATCTTCTAAACAGGATTATAGTTCTCTTAACTGTGCTAGAAGTAACCCCTTCGTCATTTCGTTCAATGACTAACAAGTCGATTGACCCGTGTGGTCACCCTGAGCCTGAGAATGGTGTGAATAGGTGAAGGCTGGGGAAGAGGGAGGATAGGAGGCTCCAGGAAGCTCCGATGAGGTGTGTGGGGTGGCTCGTGGCTGTGACCAACTCTCTGTTTTCTTTCTTTTTCTGGCGCTCATTTCCAAACTGAAGTTCTCCAGAACTTCCGGCTGTCTTTAGGCCTTAAGCTATGTGCCAGGTCCCATGTACTTTTCTCCACACTGTCATGTAAATCCTAGAACCACCCCCGAAATCCTTGTAATCAACTCCTTTTGTTTTCCTAAGAACATGAAGGTTATAGAATAATTTAACCAAAACCAGGTGAGGGCTTTGAACCGAAAGTGGTTTATCTGCCAATCTATGGCTGCCCTTCTGACACCCTCAGAAAATTGGTAACTGTACTCCTTGGCTTCTCAGCATCAGGTAGACAAATCGATCAGCAGTAAGCATCTGTCTCCACATGTTAGCCAGCAGAGTCAAACCCATGAGAGCTGATGAGCTCAGCTCTGCAAGGGTCAGCTCCATCATTAGCAGGGTTTATGTTTATTGAATTTGTTAGATTTATTAAGCGAAAGAGATCAAATTGCTTAGTGTTCAATTAAATTGCACTTGGTAAGGACAGGGAAGTAATGAAGTCTAAAGTCTTGGCAGAGTTTATATTCTGTGGAACCCCAGCGCCATGCACCAGTCAAGTTC